TCAGGTGATAACCTCATAATGTACAGGTGATAACCTCATAATGTACAGGTGATAACCTCATACTGTACAGGTGATAACCTCATAATGTACAGGTAATAACCTCATAATGAACAGGTGATAACCTCATAATGTACACTTGATAACCTCATAATGTACAGGTGATAACCTCATAATGTACGGGTGATAATCTCATAATGTACAGGTGATAACCTCATAATGTACAGGTAATAACCTCATAATGTACAGGTAATAACCTCATAATGAACAGGTGATAATCTCATAATGTACAGGTGATAACCTCATAATGAACAGGTGATAATCTCATAATGAACAGGTGATAATCTCATAATGAACAGGTGATAATCTCATAATGAACAGGTGATAATCTCATAATGTACAGGTGATAACTTCATAATGTACAGGTAATAACCTCATAATGAACAGGTAATAACCTCATAAAGTATAACTATTGACAGTCTCTATGAATATGTTAATAATTAATGTATTTTCTGTATTTATTTTAGATGGTCACATTATTTGGAATGTGGATAATACCCATTATTTTTTGCATTAGATTAGAGTGGCATCGATTTCTTTTTACATGGGTTATTTTTTCTATTATTACATCTTATATTGTATATAGAGCTACAAGAAAACCACTTCCTGGGACTACACCCAGGTAAGTTGTTTTCTTGATAACATTTTTAGGAATGTGATTGCGCTGTATGTCGCACATGTTGTACTAATAGCACCTTAATTCCAATGCTATTCCGCTGATACTAACAAAAGTTATGCAAATTTTTAGTGATTATTTCCACATGTTTTAGGTTGTGATGCAAATAAATGTATCACTGCGAATTTGTTAAATATCATAACTTTTTGTGCTTTAGATAAAATATACTGGCATTAAAAGCTATTTGTCTTTTTATGTCAAACACTGTGTGAAACATATTTAGATTGGAAAACACTATGTGGATCAAAGCATATTGACGCACTAGGTATCCTCAA